GTCTATCAAGAGAGCGAGCCTGCCAGGGATGTAAAGACAAACCAGAAGTGTCTCCGCGAAGTCATTCGTCGCGGCCCGGCCGTCCGTCGTTGCCGTTGTAAACTTCCCCGGGCGTGGCCTGGACGAGGGGCCGCGCGGCGCGGCGGCAGGGCAGCGGTGCGCGCTTCCGTCGAATTACAGTCTCATGGCTCATGCCTCCATGCCCCATGCCCCCGTCATCCGTGCCTTCATGCCTTCATGCCTCCGTGGGTTCTGCTACTGATCGCCAAACGCTGGAATTGATAGCTGCCACCGCTTAGGCTCGCTTTGCCGTGGCGGTCCTCTGGGTTTGGAGCCGACTGTATTTTGTATAGAATGACCGTTGACCAATGACCGAACACGGTCGATGACCAGTGACCGAACGGTCGGCGACCGGTGACCGGTGCAGTGAACTGTAGCCGACGCGGTCTGTGTCCAAGTCCCCGGATTAGATACACGAGCCGAACAGGGAAGCATACTGGTTTGTTATCATAATCCGTCTGTCAAATCTACTACGACGGCTTTCTTCGTGAGCTACTGAGGTGGTTTACTCCTTACATCGTAAAAGTATCAGCCATCGAGCTCAGTTGATCGCTGCTAACGTTTCAGGGTATCTTTTTCTTCCGAGTCCAACGTCTAAAATCCAAAGCTTTCCCATTCGTATTTCATCAACACCCCAATGTTTCTCAATGAAGTCGGTTCGTTTTAAGAGAAACCACACGATCCAGAAATGGAACAAACGCACCAAATGAACAGACCCGTTCACCGTCGTCGTGAATCGAATTTCAGAAAACCCAGGACCAGTAGAGCTTTCAGTTCTGGACCAGGCTAGCTTGAAGCTTCAGCAGTTAAAACCTCGCAAAACACGTCGCCTGCCTTGTAGAGGAGTAGCCAGGGACGTTTTATGAGCGCTGTTACTCTCAAGCTAGGCTACGTCCGCCATCCATGCTTGATGAGGTTATTCTGGGGCTAAATCTGGCGAGGTCCTCGGTGCTTGACTGTGTTTTAGTGCCTGTTACGTGCGGCCAAGGGAGGAGGCAGGAGGGCATACCGGGATATGGGGATGGAGAAAGTTCCTTCTGAGACATTTGGTCTCCTGTGTGCGTACTTGCGTAGAGGTCAGCGTCCTGTCGCACGAGGACCCCCCCCCCCCCCGCCCTCCTCCCTTCTCCCCCACAGCACACAATTACCCCATCCGTGATTACTCTCGGAGTAATGTAATCCCCTGCCTAGCCGTGTTTCGCGACCCATTACCTCCTGCTCTTCTCCACCTCTCTCTCTCTCTCTCCCTCTCTCTTCTCCTTCACTCTCTCCTTCGTAGGAGGGCGGCAGAGGGTAGCGTGGGATAAGATTACATCATTTGCATATGATTATTAGACCACCGACGCTACCTCGTCAGTAGCAACAATTGATTACGACTTACGATTGAAAGAAGGGGCGAATTGTTGAGTCACCTTACATCAACCCTTGCGTTACGAAATGTTAGTCTCAGTTTTCATCAAAGCATTTCTGAGCGGCCGTCTTTCTTACCGTCCAACCAATTTGAACAACAACAAAGACACAAACAGCCACACAACGCACAGTTCTTGTTCCGCAAATCACGTTGGCTGGAGAACATGGCTTCGCTTTTAAATTAGGCCCCCAGTTGACCAGATTGGAGCCTTTCCAACAGTGTGAAAAACATCACAGTCAGGTTTTTGCAGACGTTCTTCAAGTTACAAAGAGCAGGGATATAGTGGTAGCGAAAAGTAAAAAGAAGAGAGAGCGAACGAAAAACCGGAAATAGCGAGCTTGTTGGCATTTCAAGATAAATTTCAGAATACTGAAAAAAACACGGGCGGTTTGAAACAGAGACGGACGGACAGACACACGTAAACGGACATAGGGGAGAGTGGGGTAATTTGGCCGCTTTTTTTAGAAAACGATGTAACTTAAAATTGACGACACATTTCTGCATTTTCTCAACGCTGGCAGGTGTCGCATTCATTTTACTTTCCTGGACAGTGAACTTGAAATGATAGAGTAATTACTTATATTGAAATTGTGACGTATTACAAAGGTCTGCAAGGCGGCCAAATTGCCCCACTAGCAGGGTTATTTGGCCGGGGGTGTGGGGCAATTTGGCCGGTGTTAGTTTACGGTCGGGATTTTCTGTTATATTGCGAGTCAGCTTCAGATTCAGCAATGACGTGTGTCCTATGACGCATTTGCCGCATTTTGGAGGTTGACTCATGGGGTCACAGGGGTCAAAATAGCCAAATTAGCGGCTCTAGATGCGTAGACAGTTTTTTACGAATAACTTTTGAAGTAATCAAGCTAGGCCAAAACTTCGAGTACCATCGTAATTCTCTCGTCATTCCGCATCGAAACATATATGTGTTGACCTCGAGAAGTCAAGGTCAAAGGTTGACCTCAAGTCACGTTACCTCAGGTCGCTTGACCTCAAGGTCACGTGATTTCAAGGTCATCATGCATATCATTCGATGCGCCTTGGCGAGCTGAACAGAATGAGACCATTTGTGCGGCTGTACCATTTTTATGTAAGGATTTATTAGCAAAAAACGTTTGGTAACCTTTGATGACGTCACATGCTCTTACAGTTGACCAATCGGAAGTAAGGCATCAAAGAAGTCAAAGTTGGTCATGAATCATGTCATTTATGGTACAATTGACCATGAAAACTCGGCCGTCCCAGCATAGTGACCATGAGCGCACCGGCCAAGTTGCCCCGCTAGTCCCGGCCAAATTACCCCATATTGCCATTCTGAAAATTTTTGTGTATAAAGTCATCACGGCTATACGGAATTAGATGAAATTGCTCTTGGAACCGCTGAACACCCCCAAGAATGGCGCTATAATGTCTGAATTCGTTTTTAGCCCAAATACTACATGTTATACAACTTTGTAAACAGAAGTAAAAGTTACCATTTTCTAATGAAATTAACGTTTTATTAATTTTGAATAAAACTACGAGGGGCAAAGTTTTGACATTTGTCCTCCAGTTATTTCTACCCATGACAAATGAATAGAGACTAGAGTTATTTCACTCACTTTTATTAGACATCGTACAGGTGGGGGCGGCCAATTTACACCACCGGCCAAATTACCCCACTCTCCCCTACGCCCATCCAGAAGACAAACATTTGTAGACGGGCATGACGCCCGGGCCCCGGACAGACAGAGACACAGTCAGGCAGACAGACATGCATACTCATACGATACGGTGGCAGACAGTGACAGAGCAGCACCGATACACAGAGTGTGAGGGGAAAAGGAAGAAGCCCTGCCGAATGCCGGATAGTTCCTCAGATGGTACGATTCTCACGACCGGGGAACATCAATAGGTTTGTCGGAGTGATCGTGACTGAGGCGACAGTTGTGCATCCTGTAGGCAGTGTAGGCAGCCGGTGCCGAAGTTGTCTACCGTAGACGGTGTAGACAGGCCTAGTGCTATACCCGTGCGCTTACGTGATCGTAAGGCGTAAGCTGGCAATGTAGCATGATATTTTCTCGACCCACTGTCACCTTCAATTAAGGTTCGAATATTTCCTTTTTAAGCTTCTCAATCGCAAAGTTCACAGATTGAAAATCAGACAATGCTCTTTAGCTTGTTAATATCGGTCCCGGTTTCCAGCGATTAATCAATTTCTTCCCGTCCGCCGCATCCCAGTCTCTCGCTGCACTTTTCCTTTCATTTCAATTAGAGCGCACAATGGACCACTATTGCGGCATCGATGGTTCACCTGGCTCTCATGTTACGACACTTCTGTCTAGAGGAAGCTGTGGTCACCTGGCGGGTGTGCTCAGCTGTCTGGAAGCTCGACCTTTTGACCCTGCGACACCGCTGACTGTGGTTTCATCGCCCCATCGCTCATGGGTGGTTTGGCGAGCAGGGTTTATGAGCTGGCAATGCATTGCGGGAAAATTGTTTTCAGATTGGGCTTATTATTTATTGTACGGCTGTACGCTATTGTTCTCTTTCTGCAATCTGCATGCTGAGTGCTATAATATATAAATCGAGGAAAGAAAGTTACTGCAAATCTGAACTCCCGGGAAAGTGAAAAACTAGAAGAATGTGATCCTTTTTCTTTGGTCTTTGGGCTTTTCCTTTTCTTTGTCTTTTCTCTTGATATATGCCGAATGTTTTATTAAATCTTTTTAAATCACTTTCAAAGCTGAGATTAGGTACCAAACAACCCTCTTCAAACTTCCTCACGTGCCTGGCAGCAGCAGCTGCAGCAGCCGTCACCCCGCGTGCCCGGGCGTCGGGCTAGGAAGCCGTGCAGTCTCGTCCTGCAGTCGCGCCGCCGGGCGGCAGGAGGCAGTTGGACGGTTTCCCCCACCGTTCTTAGTGTCGAAATCGACTGCCGTCGGCGCCGACGACGACAGGGGAGGGAGGGGAGGGGTGAGCGGCAGGGGCTTCCCGGCCGCCTTCACCTATTTTTGAGCTGTGATACAGAGTGAGCATTAAAAGTGCAGACATTACATGGGCTGGGTTGAAATAACAAACGTTCTTATCCATCAAGCCAACAAGCCAGTCCACGTTTTTTCAATCAGATGTTGAATTTTAACATTGCATTTTAACATCGAAGGTAACATTCTAGTGCCAATCATGATGCGTATCATCACAAGTTCTAAAATTTATCAAGATCTTTGCTAATCATACTGAGTCGAAATAAACGCAATTAGCACATGCAATAGGTCGGTTTCAGTTCAAAGGTCTTTGAACTTCGGCAACCTGTTTCAAATACGTTTTATGTCCGACAGTAGTGACAGTACCTACCTAATGGAACATCCTGAATAAGTTCAAAAGAGGGTTTCACACCTAACTGACGTCCAATCTTGTTACGACTGACATTTCCTTCACCGAGAATCGCAAATATGAAGACATTTAGACGTGCCTTGTAGTCTGACACCCTTTGTCCTCTGCGCACTAAAGCGCTGCAACCAGATGGTGACATGTCCCTTCTGTTCTATTCCAGGCGCCTCGGCGGCCTCCAAGGCTTACCTGGAGGCTCTGAGCCGGCTGGGCAGCTGCGCTACGGAGTCGGCATCACACGGCGCTTCAGATATCGGTAAGAAAAAAACGATAGATACTGCAGTAGATGCAATAAATGCAATAGATGCAAATGACATTGACCTGCACGTTCTATCTCTCCAAAGAGTAATGGACATTACTCTTTGGAGAGCTAGAACGTGTAGATCATTTTGCGTGTGCTTGTTTAGTGCCAATCACCGACAAATTTAGGTACTCGTTTAATTATTTAATGTTAGTCTGATGATGCAAATCCTATTATAAGTTGCAATGCCGAATTTATGTAAGGCACAGTAGACTTTTAAAGTTTATCTAATGTGACGTCGTGAGTCTTTATTAGAAAGCTCATTTTCAGCATACATTTCAAATCTATTTCACAGCCATTATACTTTCGGCTGATTGATCACGTTCCTAATCGTTCCCACGCCTTTGTTCTGCCGGTGACATGGCCTGCTGAATTCACCGCTCTATGTGACCGCGTAATATCCTCTGACCGAAACTGTCCAACACACTGTCCGTTCCGATTTAACGCAGATGAATAGCCAACCATTTAGCTGCGGCGACTCACAACGCGGGACGCTTTGTCACTGGTCACGTGATCGCTTGTCAGCACCCGCCCTCAGGGCATTAGCCACGGGGAGGGGTGAGGAGGGGTGGGGGCTCGAGAGGGGCTGGCCGGACGCCTAGGGGAGGTTGTAGTAGAGCAAACCCGGCGTCTGTTGGGATATCCGACAGGACGTTGCCCCGGGGTAGGCTCAAAGACTGATGGGTGGGCTGGGATATGTGGGGAGCTGTTGAGCTGCTCAAGTGATGAAGTGCAGATAGCTTTAGAAAGGCCACTAAAAATGCAATACAGAAATGCTGACCAGTGGTCATAGTCCGAAATTGAGCGTCTATCCGATATGTGTCTGGATATAGCGAACCACGCGGAAGTTAAGAGCGCTTTCTGATGCGTTGACTTTTCAAATGGTTATGCATGTGCTATATTGCAAAAGGGTAAGCAGCTCATCATCTCATGCATAGCTATAAGCAGGATCAGGATGCAAAGGCAACAGCTTAATAATGCATTGAGCTGCTTTCCAGATAATCCTTGAAACGTTTGAGTTTAGTTAGTGAGTGAGAATCCAAACTATGAAGTGCCAAAGTTAATCAAAAAGTTAATTCAAGTATACATAGGTATGTACCGACGAAATGATAAAATGGCACTCGTCATACAGTTTGAGCAAGATAAATTGTAAATCATATAAACGACAACGATTCACCAGAAGTTACATTTGTATCATTGTAAAACTAATAAGTGATCGCCGTTTCACCACTTCCGCGTTGTTCTTTGTGACCGGGAACGGCCTTCCGCTTACATTAGCGCGCTGTGGGGTGCCTTGAGGGCGCTCACAGGGGCTGTCGGACGCTCTCTCCTCTCTCTCTCTCTCTCTCTCTCTCTCCTCTCTCTCTCTCTCTCTCTCCTCTCTCTCTCTCTCTCTCTCTCTCTCTCTCTCTCCTCTCTCTCTCTCTCTCTCTCTCTCTCTCTCTCCTCCCTGCAGAGTATGCTATCAAACAGTCTGTTGTCAGTCCCAAGTCAAAGCAGAACGATTGGCCAGAGGCCAGAATCAGATACTGTCACTTAAATACAGACTGTGTCAGAGCAGGGATAACCAGTCACGGTGCGTTCAATGATGTGAATTAAGTCACAATCGAGGTGGGAAAGAGAGAGAGAGAGAGAGAGAGAGAGAGAGAGAGAGAGAGAGAGAGAGAGAGAGAGAGAGAGAGAGAGAAAACGGAGGCATAGAAAGAGTGAGGAAGGGGAGGAAGAGAAAGAGAGAAAAGAGCGAGAAAGAGCGAGCAGAAAGGAGAGAAAAGAGACGCGAACGGAAGGAAGGAGGGTGCCGCCGTGCCGAATGTCCCCCACACGAGGGGCGAGGAAAGTAATGTGATTTACGTATTATCCCCGAGACGCCGATGGCTGGTGTTGGCAGTCGGGGAGAGAGGGGAGGGGAGGAGGGGGAGGTAAGATGGTGGGGTGGAGACACACGTCGAAAGGGAGGGAGTGAAAACATCAGCGGGAGGCGGCAACACATCATAACGAGAGGGGAGAGCCACACTCGAAGGCGGGAGAAAAAATACAGAGTGGTGGAAGGGTTGTGCGTCTGCTCGTGCGTGCGTGCAGGCGCAGGGAAATGCCTGCCAATATGGTCATTAATACTCTAAATATGGTAGTTGGTATCAACGACTTTGTTTTACGAACAAGTGTATTAGCGGTGCACGTAGAACAGTGCAATTTATACATTAAACAGCTCTGATCTGATTTTACTGCTTCTTGCGCGTGCAGATCGTTCCGCTAAAACATGCATTTTTTTAAGCGAAAGGCTGGGCATTTCATTGATTTTAATGTCATTAAGAGCACCACGAAGTTTAACCCGCGCACCGACGGGGGTCTGCGCCAACTTCGCAACGACGGGGGGGGGGGCGGATGACCGCCCCCCCCCCTGAGATCTCGAGAACAAAGCAAGATAGCGACAAGCGGTAAACGGCAAGGGATACGCACGGACAAGGTCTACAATTTTTACAAAGGTCATTTTCAGGTCAGGTCAAAGATGACGTCACAGGGGTCAAAAAAGTCAAAATGGCGGCGCTAGGTATGGAGAGAGTTTTTCTCGAATAACTTTCGAACTAGTCAATATAGGAACAAACTAAGGGCAGCATCGTGATCCTCTCGTCAATCCGCATCGAATGATATATATGTTGACCTCGAAAGGTCAAGGTCAAAGGTTGACCTCAGGTCACGTGACCTCGAGGTCATCATGTATATCATTCGATGCGCCTTGACGAGCTGAACACAATGAGACCATCCGCGCGGCTGTATCTGGTTCCTGTATGGAGTTATTGTCAAAAAACCGCTGGTGACCTTTGATGACGTCACATGACCTTACAGCTGCCCAACAGCAAAACAGACCTCAAGATAGTGAAGGTTGATCGTATATGAGGTCATGTATGGTTTATGGGGCCATTCCGACCCGTTTTAGTGGTAAAAACTATTAGGTAAAAACTAAAAAAAAATTCCCCCATTGACTTACCTATAATGGGGAGGTCGAGAAATCGACCTGACCTTAGGTCACCGATATCAAAATTCCGAGATATACAAATTGTAGCTACTAATGACCTAATAACATCCTGCGACTTTCAAATGCCTCCGACATCTACTGTAGCTCTGGCACGGTGACAAAGTTGCAAAAAAGTGACTTGAGGTTGGGTCATTCAAAGTGACCTGGTGACCTGACCTTAAAAGTTAGGAGGTTCAAACTTGCACACCATGTCGTACCAAATTTCGCGCTATTCGCGAAAAACCTCAGGGGGGGGCGGATATCCGCTCCCCCCGTCGGTGCGCGGGTTAAGACCTGATCATTATATATCCTACTTTTCAGTTTCCCTGCACTTGTTCCTGCCCTTTTTTGCCACCATGTAAAAAAGCATATAAAAATAGTCACCGAAGGCGTTATCCCTCAGCACGCAGCGCCCGATCGCAGATATTTGATCAATCCGGCCAGAGGCGAGCGGAGGCAATCCTATTTCCCGCACCTCCCTTCTCTGATAAACCCCGCACAAAGGATAATTGCTGCCAGATTAGGATCACTCGCCTCCATTCCCGAGAGGAATTATCTACACTCGATGTTGATTTAATCAGCAATGCTCAGTGACGTACTCCGTACCTTGGTCAATGGTCATACCTTTTAACTGCTGTGACCTCGTAGCGTTTACGGGATATTTTGTTGGTCTATCCCTTATGCATTTTTTAAGCAGACTAAGCAGTGTCTTTTATTCTCGGTAGATATTTATGAGGAAGCTCCCAACGTGGAGCAAAGGAAATACATAAACGGGTATGCCAAAAATCAGTGATTTCATGAGGGGTAATGGTATATAATTACTTTTCCCGTTTTATGGATGCCTATTTGGAAATTATCATAACCAAAATTAAGTGTCCAAAACGCAAAAACAGGGTACCGAAAGAGAAGCTCGAAGCTCCAAGGGCTAATTCGCCTCCCCTAGCCAAAAGATAAAGCTCGCGAGGAGACAGACGCGGGGGTGACGTGGTGGTTCGGTATAGAGGTGTCAATTTCAGAAATTTCTTGTCCGATGTCCGTCCAATGTCCAAAATCCTAGCTCACCTTTGTCCGAAAAATGTCCAAAGCATGGATTTGTCCGAAAAATGTCCGAAAGCTGGATAATGGAAAGAGGGTAAGACTCTTGTGCTACTTAGCACACCTTGATATTTGCAATTTTCTTCAGTCTCTTTTCTGTTATTTTTCAAGTGAGGCAAATCTATTTTTGGATTCCCTACTTAACTGCTTTGGTGTCTAGTGCTTCCCACACGTCTATGATTGTACATCATAGGTATTCATAACTGTGTTATCTCATGATGGGCTTGCTGACAATAATGTCATCGATCTGTATTCTGTAAACACATTTTCAAATTTAGAGTTAAAAGTTGGCACAGTATATGTAGGTATGTACCTTATTTGACTCAGAGCTACCCGCTACATGCAATCACGTTAATGTTCATCTTGCACTATAATTATGAATGATGTATAAAACACCTATCCCCTGCCAATTTTGATGACATGTTTTGCAATTTGCATATTGATGATGGAAATAAGTTTGAAGTTTGAACTTAAACTTTTTTAAGAAATTTGTTAATTTCAACTAGTTTTCCGAATATGTCCAATGTGTTTGTTACTTGTCCGTCCGATTTCCGAATCGGAATTCGGAAATTTTCGGAATTCCAAAATTTTCGGTTCCGATTGACACCTCTAGTTCGGTACCATTAAGGCCGGTGGTTGGTCGGTTTTATCGCTGAAAATCACATCAATCACGGGGATGGAAGAGACGGGAAAAAGACAAAGGGAAGAGCGGCCATAGCGGACCGCTAAATGGGGCGGGAGGGGGACAAGGGGACAGCTAAATGGGGCGGGGGGACGGACAAGGGGACGGCTAAATGGGGGCAGGCGGGGAGGAGAAAGACTGGGGAGAGACGGCACACCGTGGGCTGGAAAATCGGTCAAATAGCGCGAAAAAATGTTCGTTAGGTGTAAGCAAGAGAGGCTGACACTTGTAGGGAAAATATCACGGAGAGAATGTTATCCCAACGAAGTTATAATAAGATATATGCTGGAAGCGTGAACAACCTGACTTGTGAAGTTCAAGACGGAATTCGGTTAATTACGTGTGTAAATTAGCTTCATTTTAACGTCTTCAAGAGGAGTTCAAACAAGCTACTTGCCAATTTATGTTGGTATGAATCATAGGGACTTTCCTCGCGTTATCACCGTCCGAACAAATAAGCTTTTTAGTATCTACACCAGCATTGTCAAACTGTTCGCTCGTGATATTGCATGACTGTCGAACGTCTCACATATTTCATTTTTTCAGGTGAAACGCTGAACGACATCGTCCAAACCTACTCAGAAATAAGAAACCATGAACTGACACTGGTAAGCAATAACTCCTGGCCCACGTAGCAACAACACTCGATAATTCAAGGCCCTGGCCTCAGCTCAGTCGTTGTAGATTGTGAGCACTGAGCAAATACTCCGTAACTTTCAACGATGCTTTCGCATATGACGTCCCTCTAAGAATTTTTATTACTGTCGTAAAGAAAGTACCGATTCAAACTTCGTTCAATCAAACTCACAATGTCTTAGGCTATTTAACTGATGCAATCATGCTCATCCGAACGGTAGTTAATGAAATTACATGCCCCACCCCCTCAAACTACCTTAACACGCGCACCGACGGGGGGGGCGGATATCCGCCCCCCCCCCCTGAGGTTTTTCGCGAATAACGGGAAAACCGCGGCGTACGCGCCGCGAAATTTAACCCGCGCCCCGCTGGGGGGGGGGGGCAGAATCTGCCCCCCCTCCCGTTTTTCGCCAATAACTTCTAAACGCGTTACGCCAGCGACGTCAAACTTTCAGTACCTTATCATACATCAATTTGACACGTTCCCTGAAAATTTGAGCGAAATCCGTCGGAAATTTTTTGAGAAATTGACGTTTTAGTGACGTCATGTTCGCCATTTTCGCCTCAAAAACGGCAAAATTTCAAACGCCGCTAACATCTTCATTTTTAAAGGAATCAAGACGTAACAAAAAAGGTTATACGTGATTCTACTTTGTCTATTAAATGGCTATCTCGGTTTTTTTTAATTTTGGTTTTTGACCAAATTTTTTCCAAAAAACTGACTTTTTTGGGAAAATATTTATAAAATCCAAAATTTTGAGTTTATCGAAAAAACCGGAATATATGTCAAAGAAGAGGTCTATGTGCACCTACATACCAATTTTTAGAAGAATCGGTTCAAAAATGTGGGAGTTATTCAAAATTTTATGACGTCAAGACACACAATTTTTTTGAAAAATGATTTTTTTTGGAAGTTCTAGAACTCGTACGGAAACAAAAATAGCACCATTCGATTCGCCGTGAAACACTGCATCGGATAGACACCTTTTCAGGCCTTAACAACCAACTTCAAAATTTGACCTCACTTGACCTGACCTTGACCTGAAATTCATCCAGAGGTGGTCCATATCACTTATTGAGTGTGCCTATTGAATTCCATGAGTAAAATGACCCATAAAACATGTGTCGCACATGCCCTTTTCTATATTTTGTTTTTGGTGACCTGACCTGACCTGACCTTGACCTTGACCTTTGAATGACATTGTGTGCAACGAATATTGTCTTGGTAGTCTAAGAACACGTTTTGGGCAATCAGTCTCAGTCCATTCTTCGGCAACTACGGTGCAAGGCCGATACTGTAGAAACTTGCATTTTGTACCCTTGACCTGACCTTGACCTGACCTCTGACCTACTTAAGCAAAAAAATTTGGGCTCTTAAGATCCGCCTTGTTGAGAGCTTTCGATTGCCGTTTTCCCCGTCTTTCTACGACCATCGGTTCGGAAGTTAGACAGGGGGGGCAGAATCTGCCCCCCCCCCCCCAGCAGGGCGCGTATGGCTGAATAGCCCAGCGGGGCGCGGGTTAACAGGACTATTCTCTCATCAATTTTACACATGGTGTGCAAGTTTCAACCTCTTAACTTTTAAGGTCAGGTCACCAGGTCACTTTGAATGACCCAACCTCAAGTCACTTTTTTGCAACTTTGTCATCGTGCCAGAGCTACAGTAGATGTCGGAGGCATTTGAAAGTCGCAGAATGGTATTAGGTCATTAGTAGCTACAATTTGTATATCTCGGAATTTTGATATCGGTGACCTAAGGTCAGGTCAATTTCGCGACCTCCCCATTATAAGTCAATGGGGGGAAAATCAACTCCCTGTTTTTACCACTAAAACGGGTCGGAATGGCCCCATATACCATACAGGACTTCATATACGATCAACCTTCACTACCTTGAGGTCTGTTTTGCTGTTGGGCAGCTGTAAGGTCATGTGACGTCATCAAAGGTCACCAAAGGTTTTTTGCCAATAACTCCGTACAGGAACAAGATACAGCCGCGCGGATGGTCTCATTGTGTTCAGCTCGTCAAGACGCATCGAATGATATACATGATGACCTCGAGGTCACGTGACCTGAGGTCAACCTTTGACCTTGACCTTTCGAGGTCAACATATAGGTATATCATTCGATGCGGATTGACGAGAGGATCACGATGATGCCCTTAGTTTGTTCTTATCTTGACTAATTCGAAAGTTGTTCGAGAAAAACTCTCCATATCTACACCGCCATTTTGACTTTTTCGACCCCTGTGACGTTATCTTTGACCTGACCTGAAAATGACCTTTGTAAAAATTGTAGACCTTGTCCGTGCGTATCCGATGCCTTTTACCGCTTGCCGCTATCTTGCTTCGTTCTCGAGATCTCAGGGGGGAGGGGCGGTCATCCGCCCCCTTCCCCCCCCCCCCCCCCCCGTCGGTAATAAGTTGGCGCAGACCCCCGTCGGTGCGCGTGCTAATAGGGAATTCTTCGGAGTTCGGAGGTCACAACTCACAGCGCTTTATATCCACGCAACATCTAACAGCGTTCCCACTCTATCCATCCCATCTCCCCGGAAGTTGGTAACTTCCTGAGCTGACATGTTTGCATTTCTAACTGCCGTTTCTGCCCTGCAGTTGAAGGCATTCTACGTAGACCTGGTTGCGCCGATGGAGACCAACATAGAGAAGGACTGGAGAGTGGTTCAGGCGGAACACAAACGGTTTACGGCTCACTGGCGGACTCTGCAGGACAGCTTCGGTCGAGCTCAGGTCAGTATGCAAGACAGGAGAGCCTCGGTTGAGCTCAGACCAGTTTTTTTTCATGGGGGGGGGGGGGGGGAGCTTCGGAATCGGGAGAGCTCAGTCAGGTCAGTGCACTGAACAGGAAAGCTTCGGTTGAAATCGGGTCAGTTTGTAAGACAGGAGAGCTCCCGACAAGCTCAGGTCAGTATATCGGATTAGGACAAGAGCTGCAGCCCGGCACACGTAACGAAACACATCAGGATGCTTCGAATGTGCCTCGTCAGTGTACCTACAGTGCAAGAGCTTTGGAAGCGTTCACTGCTCAGATGGGGGAGCTCCCGACAGTCCCGGGTCGGTACTCAATTTACTCAATTACCAAAACATCGGAGCTTTATACAGACAGAGTTCATCCGTCAGTCACCTCTTGCCGCCAATGGCATTCCCAAAATATAGGTACATGAAAGCACCTGCCTATTGTGCTATCGCATACCTAACCGCTTAGCCGCGCGCTAAGCTGTTTCATCTTTGCATTTAATTTTCACCGAATCGGCGGCTGCTTGGAAAGCCGCTATCGTTCGCAGACAGGCTGCCAGGTTTCAGAACAGACGTGCTGGCAGCCCACGTCTTACCGAGAAACCTTAGTCTGGTGTCGGAAGCCAGACGGGCGGGCGCCGTTCACAGAACAGTGACGGCGGGGCCCCGCGACTCCAGGGCAAGCTGAAAGCTGTCGTACTGTTCGCTGTCGTACTAACAGATCGTGTGGTAATGACCACGGTCGTAATACGAGCTGTCGAACTCTGAATAATGAACATTACCCGCGGTGCCTGGGGGTTCCGGGGCTGTTCTGAAAGCTACCGTTCCGTACTAATATTGTATGCATAGACCACATACAAATATAGTGCTTTAAGATATATGCTTCCGATATAGTAAGCGCATGACCCCCATGCCGACAGGTTGGTGTGAAGAAGAGCCAGAAGAAGTTGAAGAACAGCAAGAGCAGCACAATGCTGGACAAAGAAATCAAACAGATCCAGAGGTTCGACGAGGAAAAGATCAAGTGCGAAATGTTCCTCGAGAAGAGCCTCAAAGATGTAAGGATTCGCAAAACCAATTATTTCCTTTTACTTCTTGCTGTCTTTAAAATAATGAAAAGTATGTTTTGACGTGGGCTACGTTAATTGGTTAAATTTCATGAACCACCGCCTAGTCGGTACACTATTGCATCGTTCTTGAAGGCACCCCAACCACATGTAGGCCAATGTTTTGACATGTACCTAATGTGTATTTCGCTGTCATGACTGACCTGATGACCTTGCACTGCTTCAGGTCATGACCCAGGAAAGGCGGCGCTACGGGTTCGTACTGGAGCGGCAATGTTCGCTGGCCAAGCACTTCCACGCCCTGCACAGAACGGGTGAGTGATCGGGGTTTATCACTCGCGAGCGCGACCCCTGTGTAAGTTTGGTGGGAATATTAATATGTACTGTAGGTATAATTACAGAAAAGTTAACTGTCCTAGGCCTAGAACTTTGTCTTGAGCAAGATGTTTACTGGTCAACCATTTCCTTTCCATGAACGTCCCAAGATCATTAATATCATAGCACGGAACGAAATGTGTAACCACTTTAAGATGTTTACAATTGGATTCATTTTAAGCGTTGTCATCGTCCACCTGCAACATATCTATTATTTTCCCATTCCTTTAGGAGAGAGCTGTTTGGGTCCGAAATTGGAGCAATGGAATCAGGTGGCCCAAACTAGGGAGAAGCTACGCTCCGATATGGACAACTACTTTGGAGGAGAGTCTTCCCAGGTGAGTATACTCGATGTGATCTAACGATGAAATTGATTATGAGTTTTGAGCCTAATTTTGGTTGGAAGAGGTCAACCGACTCATTCACCTCACTGTCTATTATGATGCAGTCAGCATTTCGAGTTTAAATTGGCTTTTTAATGTGTAAATGGGAGTGTGGAATGTTGGCAATTGCAGCCAGTGCCGTATGAAAATTATGTGAAAAGTACCTACCATGTTTCATCACTCGGCAAAATTGAAGGCTATTGGAAACTCCCTAAGGACTGTTGCTAATCTATTTGCTTTGGAACGTAATCCGAATGATATACAAGCAGCTGACATGTCACTGTGTGCTGTGTTCCAGTTTGAGTCAGCCTCCTCCAAGGACTGCAGCGCCATGCTGAAGCGGAACCGCTCAGTGGACAGCAGCGTACTGACCTCACCCGACCAGTGCCGGCTGATGAGGACCCGCTCCAACTACGAGTTACACTCGTCCACCAGCTCCTTACATAGTGAGTCCATCAGCTTTGAGTACTTAGCTATATAAACTCTGACTCCACCGCCTTTTTAAACAGTACACAGCGAGTCCCCGAACGTCTTTAAAGTGAGTCAAGCGCGCGAGGGGAAGAGACGGCGCAGAAGATGTGCCTGAAGCAACCATGAGCTGTGTGTCTAACGATCATCCACTCCTAAATGTAAATGATTATCAAACTCGCGGTATCGCTAGCCGCACTCATTTCCTGTCTGTTTTAATTATTTCCCTCCCCTCATTTCTAACCCCCCCCCCCCCGCTCTACCCCGGCAGTGATGTCCGACCCTGTCGAACCGGAGGTACCCTCCGCCGGTCCCGTCCGACCCGCCTGGGACACTGACTCCAGCGACTCAGCATCAGCCGGCTCCCACAGCGCCGATAGACCGCTGGTCAGGGCGATCTACGCCTACCTGAGCAGCGGCGAGCATCAGCTCAGCTTCCATCAGGGGGATGTCATCGCCTGTATTGGTGAGAGGGGGAATACCTACTCGATGGGAATACTGTCCTGGTGAATGTAGAGTTTCACAATGGGATGCTTCATAAGTGACATGTCTATCACGAAGGCTAGGCTTCGTCACTCATCATCTTCTGTAAATTGGGTCTTCGGAGCTAGGCTTCCTGAAAAAAATGTTTTCATGACGATAAATATCGCCTGTTTTGGCGGCGTGATTGAGTCTGATGACTGATGAGATCAAATTGCAATGACAAACGTAGTAGTTCAGTTTTCACAATCGGGCAACTGTGGTGTTTCGAGCGTGGTTTCCCGATAGGATACTGACTGGCCTTTCTTCTCACCCTTGGTAGTAAGCCTATCTTCCACCTCTAACGCTTACGTCTCGTTCACAGGGGAGCGGAACAAGGGCTGGCAGTTTGGCGAGAACGTACGGACCCGCCGGTGCGGCTGGTTCCCCGCTGCCTACACCGAGCCCGTGACCGACTCAGCCAGCTCACAGGGCTCAGAGTCCAGCGCCGAGTGAGTCACCGGACGACTCACCGACTTGCTGACCGACTCAGGAGCCAACCCACTGCGGACTTATCGCATATACTTATTGGAGACTGGAGAAATCACTGTCGCCATCTCTGACACTGACCTAGATGTCGACACTGGCAATGTCTGTCCCAAAGGGTGTCTGTCCACGGCTTGCCAATTCCATGGAACAACGTCAATGTTTACGCTCGACGCTGACAATCTTTACATATTTTAGAATACGAAGCATTGGAAGGACAGTCTGTTCAATGGCAAATTCAGCGAATGAGGCTTACAATCCTTTCCCCTATCGCTCTTCACAGGGCGTCAGCCTCAGGCAGTCGGCCGCGTTCACTCACCGTCCGGCCGGAAGAGGCGCCACTGTCGCTCTCCACCTTCCGTCCGTCGCCGCCAGGGGCGCTACCTACGCCCAGCCGACGGCCTACCAGCGTGCATGCCGAGCTGACCAGCCGACTGGCGGCAAGAAAGGTACGAGCTCTATATAACGGGGCGGATAATAAGCGCATCACGCAGCTTTGTAACGTCTTGCAGGATGCCGGATCACGGATGTGGGTTTTTGCACATCGATGACACAGATGCCAGGGCTCAGACCCTGTGACAAAGAAGTTTCAGCGCCCCTGAGCTTAGTAAAATGTCGGGCATGGAACTCGTATTCCCAGCCATGACTTACAGGCAGGCATGACGCTTCGTCGTCTTCTCTTTGAGGGCTGTGATATGCGGCGAAGGTCACCAGGCTTCAGCGCATGGGGGGAGGGGTATGGCCGCATTGTCCCCTCCACTGGGTCCTCCAATGCATCAGCCCACCCTTCCTTGTTGACGATGACATAGTCTCGTGACTGATCCTTGCCTTTGACTGATGAGCTCCTGTCTTTTTGACTGTTCCTGTCTTCATTTGCAGCTCAAACCTGCTGGTACATCTGGACAGCTGCCTCCACCGCCACCGCCGCCGCCGCTGCCTCCAGAAATGAAGCGCTCTCAGACTACACCGGTACTAAACGGACCAGCTGACACCAGCCTGCATAGCTCCAATGACTCAGGTGAGGAAGAAAGAAAATCTTGTGGAAGCAAGGGAGAGCGACAAGTCAGACAGCCCCAGACCAAGCCTAGGCTAGGTGATGTGTTAGAAAAGAGCCAAGGCTTCAGCGAGGGTCAAATGTCGTAGCGGATTCTTGGGGTCTGAGGGTGATTGGTTGGGGCGGGTTCATGTAAAAGCAAAAGGCGCTGTTGTCTGCCCCTCATGCTTTCCGCAGCACTGACGATGCCACGGGTTGTCCGCAGGTTTTGGAGCGGACCAGCACCCTCCTGCGCCGGAACAGTTCTCCTCAGACCCGCGGTCAGTGAATGAAGACGGCCAGAAGTAGCCAGTGGCTGCCTACTAACCCATACCCTTCGGAGCAACCCCTGATCCTTGAGCTCCCATTCCTGCTCTTCAACAGTCAACTACCAAAGTTTCGTTGACCTAGCACTCTTTCTGTGTATGCTTTTAGAGCTCCTTCTGTATTTCTAATGTTTTGTTTTTCATAGATGTTTGTTTTGTCGATTTTTTAGTTCGTTCGCTTGAAAGCTTTGTTGAACCTCGTAACCTTAGTTTTATTTTTCGCATTTTGTTTGCATTTTGTTTGGTTTGCATTAACACTGCGGCGTGGCGTCAGGTCGACCGCTGGAGGAGGTCTGCCTCAGACCCGCCAGGGCTGGCTTATCTTCAGCCAAGGCGACGACACGGAGCTTCTTCGGCCCTACCTGGGGCCATCCGGCAACAAGGGCGTCCAGTTTACGGAGGAGCCTTCTAGCGGAGGAGGCAGCCGCAGCGCGTCCCTACTCGACCACTTCGTCACCATCGACCGCAAGGCTCGCCGGCGAGCGAGTCGAGCCCGGCTCGGCCGCAAGGCCTCTCTGCTGCGGGCGTTTCGTCCGACCCCCGACCAGCCCCTGAGTTCCGACGAGTTGTGGCGAACGCCGGAGGTGGAGCGGAGCGGGTGGTCCTCTCCGCCGGCCACCATCCCCGAAGAGCCCTCCGAGCCGGGGCGCACCAGTCCTCGCTCACTCTCCGAGTCGGACCTGCTCGACCTGGACTCGGGAGACACGCTACTCCTGGTGCAGGACTACAGGGCGCTCACTGTGGCAGGAGTGGAGAGGAGAGCCACCAGGGGTGGGGAGAAGGAGAGGTCCAAACCCGGTCAGGGGGCGGAGAGAGAGGGACGACGTGGTACCGCGGTGTTCGCTGAGGAGCCTGCCGTGGAACATCTCAGTCCGGAGGAGCCGGTGTCGCTACCGGTGGAGAGAGCCCCCTCTTCACGCCGCTCCCCGGCCGGGTCGTCGATGTTCCGGGGCATGGCCTGCCTCAAGTCTGCCGGCCGCGCGAGACGCTCCACATCGACAGCTCCTCTCCAGTCGATGACGAATGTCATCGGAGACGATTCCGAGCCCGTCAGCCTTCCGGTCGACATCCACGCGTGCGCCGCGCGTCGCCGCCGCGCCGTGGACGTCGCCCGTCGCCGCACAGTGGGAGCTCTCGTCAGTGAGAGACCCTCCGCCCTGGCGGTCAGCACCGCTCGAAAACACGACACCGTGTCCATTTTCCAAACGGATGCCGAGTACGAGGAGCTTCGCTATGACGCCGCTCCGGCTCCGGCTCCGGCTCCGGTGTCGTCCGGAGCCGGACGCCGGAGATCCGGCTCCTCAGAGCTCCGGCGGCACCACAGTGTGGCAGCTCCGTCTGTGAGTGAGAAGCTGCGTCAGTTCAACATCGACTTGTTCAACTACGGCAGCTACTTGTCGAGGAGGCTGTACCTGCCGGAGAAGGACAGTAAACTGGAGGAGACTGAGGAGGGACAGCGGTGCGGGCCCTGGTACGACCTGTGGGCTGCCGACAGTAGCTGCCGGAAACAGGTACACGGCGGGGGAGGAACGGGTGGCGAGGGGATGGAATAATGATGAGAGGAGACGGGAGGGGACAGAAACAGAATAACGGAAAGTTGGGACGGGTAGGCATGACTATTCGGTACAGGGGACACCGACACTCGACAGGCTTCGTTATGAAGTCAAGGAACGCATTGTTGTTGGTTGTGTAATAACTAGATACGAGTTAAGCTTTTAAGCCTGTCACGGACTTTGTTCGGTATTATTTGTGCATGTGTTTGCAGTTACACTAACCAATTAGTCGCCTCGCTACGACTCCTAGCACTTTTTGGCATTCCTTCATTGAATAAGCTTTTACCGTCGTTAAGATTTTAGGAGCGCCCCTGCAAATCCCGTGCAACTTCTGGCTACACCTGAAGATAGCTTTCTTTTTAGTTATATATTTATGTCAATCCACACTGCATAGGAATTACTTAATCTGTCGTTGTAATTATTCCCTAATTTTAGCCGCAAATAACCTGCAATTTCCTTCCGCAGGCTGAACACGGCGAGGCTGCGTCGGCCGCCATCAACCAATGACCGATCAGCACCGCAGATCACGTGATCACTCGACCGGGCAATCGCCTGGTCACGTGTCTCAGGCCACCAGCAACAACCAATCAGCGCTCAGCAATCGACGATGAGCTGAAACATGGCGAAAAACTGCTTAGAATTTACTTGGACGTCTGCTCGGTTGGACTTAGCATGCAAGAATTATACGGCAATGAACAGTGAAATCGGTTACGACGGTAGCTAAATGCAGTACACCAACCATGAAGTAACGGTGCAGCTACAACTACTACGCTGATTTTTCATTGAGTTGTAATCGGATGAACTACGTTCGAGTCCCCAATGTGCGGTGCCCAGTTCTTTCGTTACTTTACGAGGGACCAGGAAGGTCCCTACGATATGCAGTTAATGTTGTTGCACTGTATGTTGTACCGCGTCAGGATGGGTTGTGTGGGAGTTGGGGCGATCTAGTTGGGTTACCGTTGACGTTTAAGCGAATTCTTCTAGATGTTATGTGACACGGAAGCAAGTTTATATTTGTTTTTCGGAAAATTGCCTCGCTATCCCGTTGTAATTATCTGATACTTGTTTAGGATTACCATATTCAATGCATTTGCAAGTTAAATTCCGCGAATAATTAAGCTGCTGCAAATCCTACTCTGAGCTATCATTTCCAGCTCCACTCAGTCGCCTATCAGTCACGTGACCCTTATGCCGGGTCGGCTATCCTCTATGACACGACCACGTGACCCGTTAGGCAGGGTTGGATGCCCGCTACACAGTGAACGTATGTAACATGGGGAAGACCCATGGGTCTGCTATCCATGGTGAGGCGTTGTGTCTCTCTTGCTGGGCGTCACGACTGGACCCAGACTGACGAATATGGTAAATGTGAACGCTAACCAAAAATTTAGATAGAACTCGTATCGTTATTTTTGCAAGTATCCGTCGATGTAGAAATAAAACTGTTTGTGGAATTGATGAGATGTGTGATTGAGTTAAGTGTAGACTTTTGTAAAAAATGGGTGAGTGAATGTGAAATATATACCTATCTTATTTGTATATGCGACTATTAAAAGTGGTTCATTTCTGCGTTTATTGTTGCCGATGAGGGATGCTTTTAGACGGATAACTGGAACAAGTAAGCACAAGACTCAGATAGCGGATGCTATAGCTAGGAAACGCAGCCGGTCGTACAAGACAGTATAAAGATAATGATCCATCTCGATGAAACATGGTCATTTGGAGAGATAGTCATCAAAACAATCCAACAAATGAATAGAAAAGGTGCGGTCGGTGAGGTTTTATTCGCCTTATACAGTTTTCAACAATTTTAGGGACTAAATGGATTGACTAATGAATACCTCGTCCTCGTGTTTAATTACATTATACCATGAGAGCCTCGTAAAAATAATAATCGTATTTCAGCGACTGTATATCGCCACACATATCTCAAACTCACTTTCATACCAGTACTAACGTCAATTGCACTTAACCCTAAACAGCAGTCAGCTCAAATCCCACCTTATGTCGCCAACAGCGTATATAAATGTCGTCCTCCGGCTTTATAACTTTCCTGCCCTGAGAAACTCGAGCTTTCCCACCCGCGCGCATTTCCAGACCGTCTTCCCGCCGTCGACACATCTCGTTCCTGCCCGCTGATTGGTCGGACGGTAGACCGTCTCCAAGGGGGCGGGGCTGGGCAGGCGGCGGCTGCGGGCGGCGGGGGAGGTTCTCACGGGACCGAGGGGCCGCAGCTCCGCGAGGTGTCGCCGGGTTGTCAGTTGTATTCCAGACGTGAGTGAGTGAGGTTGGGTGGAGTCTGCGTGTGTTGTGCGTGGATATATTGTTCAGTGATCAGTGATCAACGCATTTATGGTCACGGGTGCAGCTGTCCGTGGGAGGATAGTGTGATGTCAATCAACATTGACATCAACATGGATGTCAATGTTGGACCAGAAACGCAGCGAAGAGGGACGGACGTCAGCTATAGCATACTTCAGTTGGTGAGTACAGTCCTTTACGTCCGGTCTCGGCGCTAGGATTCATTAGTGACGTGATCCAAGTCGACTGCAACTGTGCATTGTGTAACATTCTGAACGTATTATACTCGTAATATCGGTTCACATAATCTTCCGGACAACTTTTATATTTAATACATTATTCAGCACCGCTCCATGCAAGAATATCGCCGTAGGTTCGCAGCAAACCCATTGATTGGGTATTGGAATACTGTGTTGGCCTCAGGTGATCACGGGTTGTCATATTGATCAATCATTATCTCTCGTCTAGCTACAAGCTACAAGCTAACGCACACCTAAACCAAAGTTCGGAAGTTGACTTTACCAACGAGTTACGACACGATATTAAATTTTAATTATACCTACCTTCTTGCATTCGCTAACAGCTGAGGAGCCGGTATTCAGTAGTCACTTTCATACCAGGACTAGCACAGCTAACCTTTGGGGCTCGACCCACCCAGGCCTGCCCCGTACCCGGGCTATAGCTCGGGGGCACGATGTGTTCAGAGTAGGGCAGAGGGGCCGGGGACGAGAGAGAGTCAGTCTGGGAGCAGTGGTCGGCGTCGGATAGCAGAGGGCTCTGCGTAACAGGACACCAAAGTGAGTGGACCAAGCTGTCAGTCGATATGTTTAGTAGCTAATTGACTTGCGTTCTCTGCATCGCCACTACCCACCCTCTAACTATCCCTATGGACTATCCCACCTATCCCTATCTATGGACTATCCCACCTTCTAAAATGTTGTTAAAACCAGTTAAATTGTGCCCGACTTTATAGATTGGATGACCAGGAACACGGTTCTGGCATTTATTTTTCATTAAACACCTTAGGCTTCCCATATTCCAAACACAAACTTTCAAATATGTGACGTCACAGCCCAAAATTACCTCCTTCCCCAGGCCACATTACTGTCATAAAGCTGATTCTTTTTACTCTGTAGGCACCACAACAAAGTTCAGACCAAGTTTTAAGCAATTTTTCAACGAACAAACCCATTTAAATCAGAATGACTAAACGAGGTGACGTCACACTAACGGTCGCTCCATGTTGAAGATAGGGCCTTGTACAAGGCCCATTTTCAAATGAAGGGAACGAATTTCTTCAACACCAAGAGGCCGCGGGGGTTGCAACCTAGATAGATAGTGGTTTCTGAACCTCGCCGCAAACTTGACTATCTCAACTCAAACCCCATGTTAAAGGTGGGATAGTCCCTTTAAGTTTTGGTGGCTTGGGGAATGCAAGTAAATGTGTGTATGAATAGCATGATAAATGATAGCATGAGCATGATAGCATGATATAGCATTGACCGATACTAAAGCCTATACCTACCTTAGGATAACCTGATGTTCAATGATTGCAAAGCTCAGGTGGGTGACGGCACGTGATCGCCTGAGGCGGTGGAGGGTAAACATATCTTCGTCATTTAATGCTCAATGCAATCGCTGCGACTGCGAAAGAACGCGACGCGACGCTTCAGTTGATTGCTTTAAAGTTGAATTTTGAGGTCACAGGTCGGGTCAAGGTCAGGTCTGAACACCTGAAATCGGGTTTTCAGAGTAGCATTGGACTTCAGAACCTCGCAATGGGCGTCTCTCGTCATAAACTGCCAAAACGGTGCACAAACAATCATACAAGGCCTACAAGAGTGTCAGATCCATGTAGGCGTCAGTCAAGCATACAGGTCAAGTTCAAGGTCAGGTCAACGGTAGGCTAATATCCCCGAAACTCAAAACTGATATTCGCAGCCTGTGACACATGTTTTATGGGTAATTCTGGGCGTAGAACACGGTGGTGACATTCATTTTATATGTGTACGTGTTTGGTTCAAAAAGTTCAATTTGAAATGCATGTATCATGGTCGTGAAGTAGTCACGAGACATTGCCAAGATTCAGTTCAAGATTTTGGAAAATGTGGAACGATAATCAAAAATCGAAGATAGCCATTTGATTGCTCATGGTATTAGCAGTCTAATGGCGTTCACGGCATGTCTGTATTTTTATTCTCTGATTTTATGATTTTTTACATACGCCGTTTTTGGTCAAAAACTCAGAAATCATGACATCACAAAAACTTTGATATCTCAAAAATTTTCCGGCCGATTTTTTTTTTAACTATGTCACAATAAGCTTCAATCAATTCCCTACAGGCACCCAAATTTTGGCACGCCGTTTTTATGCCATAGCGCGGCGAAAAAGTGGGGGCCTTTAACGCCCCTCTCCCCCCCCAGCAACTCGCGGGATAAATTGATGAAATAGAATTGCCACAGGTAGGGAATAATCCGATCCAGATGGTGTATTCATTACCTTTCCACACATCATGCTATAAGCAGGCCACCATTGTGGTGGCCGTAAGAAATTCGGCGAATACTCATTTGAGTGTTCCCCTCCACGGAAATCTTTAGTAAAAGGCGAAAGATTTGTACGTTTTGAAGGGAAACCAGAGATGGTTCTGGGGGCGAATTTTCAGGCTATACCACGCACTGGTTAGATTCTCATCGTTAGTTTTAGCTCGATTATGGCCAGTGCAGCTAAAGTTATGTTGTCCTATGCAAGAAGTGCGCTGTCGTACCCGCAAATAAGGTTTACCTCTTTCGACAAGTTTAGTAACTAAAAAAAAACTTCCTTTGTCCACCCAATAACTCCATATCTCTCCAAAAATTAAGGCCCCTCGTTTTACCCCATCTACCGGGTGTAGCTTTAACCACAGCTTACGAAACAGCTCACCGAGATATTCACTCCGATTAGGACGGTCATGAAGTTGGTCCTAGGATTTCCTTGTCCATGAATCCAGTTTCTTGTCTATGAATAATGTTTTGGAAAGTGTTTGCATAATCAGCGTCAGTTCATCACTACACCATCCCCTTCCACACCGTTCAAATATACTGACCTCCCCTACACCGTCCCTGGCGTCGCCCCTGCGCGCTGTGGAGTGTGGCGGGCCGCCGACAGTGGCGCCTGTGGAGGGAGCGGTAGTCGGCCGGCCACCGCCGGGACGGAATGGCAGGGGCGCGGCTTGCGTCTCAGTTGAACATTAGATGTGTTGATGGGGACAAAGACGCTACGCAGCAAGCACAGAAGGTCTCGAAAGCATGAACCGACAGCTCCGCAAGTCACATAAAGCAAATCCGCAACATAGTTGACTTGGAAGTTGGACATCCCGGTGAGGGCCATGGTCCCACCAACAAGTGTTGGGTAGGTATCTTGAAATCAGGTTCGGTGTCACCTGATAGAATTACTCTTTGCTCTACAAATGGGTACAGACCACCGTTTAAGTAATGTGCGGTTTGACTAATCTCAACAGATGGCTTTGACTGACAATTCTTATTTACGGAGTGATCCACGAGTTGGCCAAAATATAAACTTGAGGCTGCAGTGATGGCGACACTGCAAGCTACATCCCAAATTTCATTGTAGCCTGGTAAATCGTTCCTAAGCTAGAAGCAAAGCGTTACCACGATTGAAACCACACATTTTTTCTGCGATGGACTGTGCTTGCAGCACAATTTAGAACGACTTGGGCAGAAAGACCCTAATCAAGCTTGCGGGATCGTCTATGCACGTATAGGTATGTCATGCCTGCAGCCTGATGTATCAAAACGCCACTGCCATGCCCTGAGCAAATGTAATGGTTTAACACGTATACGTGTTGACTGTTGACGCTGTTTTGTCTTTTTGCTTCAGTGACCATATCAAAGCGACTGCACAAGACAGCTGGAAAGCGGCACAACATAGTAGGACCTGATTCAGGTCAAATATCGAGACAGAAACTTTTGTTTTTTGTTTTGTTTTTTGTTTTGTTGGGTTAGGCCCTTTCGGTCTGACGAGACCATTTCAGAGCCGGGAGGATGACAGGAATTGGGGGGACACATTGGTCTGGGCAGACACCCTAGAGAGTCGCCGGGGCTGAGCCCGTCCGAATGGACAGGCCGACCAGCCCCCCAAGCACTCTCTGCACCCGGCTACGGGGTGCGCTCCCTCGGGAGCAGCGGTGCCGCTCCAAGGGAGCAGCCCGCATGAGATAAAGGTGCCTGTCCAGCCCGGA